CTTTACCCTATCGCCGTCCTTATTGATGAGTTGAAGGTATAGTTGCCCTCGTGGTCATCCTATCCCTGACGCACGAACATCGGCAGTCCTGATCCTGAGAATGTCACAGCATGACGATGTACTCCTCCGCCTCAATGCCATCCACCGTCTGTCTACTATTGCTTTGGCCTTAGGGCCCGAGCGGACCCGGGAAGAACTTATCCCTTTCCTTGATGGTTAGTACCGTCAACGCAAGAAGGATAGCTTTCTGGTCAAAATGTGTCCCCTAACTCTTGCGCCATAGATTCCGTCGAGGATGAAGATGAGGTTTTGACTGCACTGAGTGAAGAGCTGGGTAATTTCATAGAGTATGTCGGGGGTCCGGAGTACGGGCATGTACTCCTCTCTCCGCTCGAGAACTTGGCCGCTATTGAAGAGCCTCTGGTCAGAGAGAAGGTTAGAGAGCCGCAACCGTTCTTTTGTGGTACTCTCCCTTTGTGCTGACATTGTTTCAGGCTGTGGAATCCCTCAATAAGATCGGCGAGCAGTTGTCCGAGAAGCAGATCGAAGAGAATTTCATCCCGATGGTTCTACGCCTGTCGAAAGCCGACTGGTTCACCTCGAAGGTTTCCGCGACCGGCCTGTACTGTGTTCCGTATAGGAAGGCTTCTCCCTCATCACAGCAGACCCTTCGGCAATACTATGGAGGCCTCGTACATGATGACACACCGATGGTGAGGAGACAGTCGGGCAACAACTTGGCGAAGTTTATCAAAGAATTGAATACCCAAATCGTTATCGAAGAGATGATACCCCTGTTTCAGCACCTTGCAACAGACGAGCAGGACAGTGTCCGCTTGCTTACAGTGGATGTTCTCATCTCGATCGCGGAAGAGATCCCCAAGGAGCAGCAGCCCAGCCATGGTGTTCTTTTGACCTCCTTGCGCAACCTGTTCGAGGATAAGAGTTGGAGAGTCAGGTACATGGTTGCTGATAGATATGAGAAGGTATCTTCTGTCCTGACGATGCTCCTTCCGCCGTGTGTTGTGCCTTTCTGACCTTGTGGTAGATCGCTAAAGCTGTGCACGAAGAGGTTGTAACTCGTGATATGGTTCCCTCTTTTGTCAAGCTTCTGAAGGACACCGAAGCCGAAGTCCGTACTGCCATTGCTGGACAGATCCCAGGTATGATTCTCGCCTACTTTATGCTCTTACAATGGCTAACTGGCGTTAGGCTTCTGCAATCTGATTGACCGAGACACATTGCTCAACGAAATCATGACTAGCGTGGAAGACCTTGTCTCTGATCCATCTCAGCATGTGCGCGCCGCGCTTGGTACTCAGATCAGCGGTCTTGCACCGATACTCGGAAAGGAGGAGTCAGTACCACCGATTCGCAGACGCTGTTTAACCAGCTTACTTACAAGTCATGTTCAGGACTATTGCGCACCTCCTCCCGATGTTTTTGCAGATGCTCAAGGACGAGTTCCCCGATGTCCGCCTTCATATCATCTCCAAGCTGGAATTGGTTAACAAAGGTGAGACGAACAACTCGCGTTCATTATAAAGCATACATGAACCTAATTGTTATAGTTATCGGCATCGATCTTCTCTCACAGTCACTTCTCCCGGCTATTGTCCAGCTGGCCGAAGACAAGCAATGGAGAGTGCGTCTCGCGATTATCGAATACATCCCCCTGCTTGCAAGCCAATTGGGAGTCAAGTTCTTCGACGAACAGCTCAGCGAGCTTTGCATGGGCTGGCTCGGTGATACAGTTTTCTCCATTCGCGAGGCTGCTACTCAAAATCTGAGGAAGCTGACGGAAGTATTTGGTGTCGACTGGGCTAAGGGCTCTATCATCCCCAAGGTGATGGGGATGGGTCAACACACCAACTACCTGTACAGAATGACAACATGCTTTGCCATTTCCGTATGTTTATTGATCGTTCCTACAGACATTGCCCTGCTAACTTTATTCAGACTCTCGCACCCGTTGTTTCTCTGGACATCATCGAGAACTCGATTCTCCCCATCTTGGATCGACTTGTCTCGGATGAGATCCCTAACATCCGTTTCAATGTGGCCAAGTCTTATGCCGTGCTGATCGATACCCTGCGTCGCCTCCCCACAGAGGGAACCCTCACAGACCTGGAGAAGGCAGGTAAAACTGCCACGCCATCCCCGCGGGGTCAGGACCTCATCCAGCAAAGAATCCTCCCCAGCTTGGAGAAGCTGCAGGAGGACGAAGACGTGGATGTTCGGTACTTCGCAACGACTGCCGCAGGCGGCCACGAGGAAGTCATGCAGACTTCACCGTAGGCTACTTTCCCAACTCGGCGTAGGCCAGCACCTGCTTGTTGATGCAAAGCACCTTGGGTGTGAGTGGGAATAATATCAACGGCACTCGCACTAATTTGGGTGGAACTCAGTTTTGTCAAACTTAGAAATAGTCAGAGCGTCTGACTGGTACGAAATGCTCATGGCGTTCTAAATGTAGATTCTTTTGGTCCACGATCAACCCTCCTGCAAAAAATTTTCTCTTGTGTTTCCCGAAAATGTAATCGCAAATGTGTAGCACGCAAGTGCTACTCCATGAGAATCGCTGATTAGAAGCAGCAAACAACTTGGTAGATCTCATTCAGTATCATGTGATCCCGAGGGCCTAGGATGCGCTACTTCCGTAAAGCCGTCGGTGTAAGCCAGGCATCCGTCTATTTAATCTTTAGTCCACGTGTGATTCCTGAGTCTGAGAGGTTGCTCAATATCTCTAAACCGCCATTGACGTTGCTAGACGCCTCATTTCTTAACCTTGTTGTTTATTTATCCGCAGCCGTGAATACAATGTCGTTTTCTTGGCCGTGGCATTTTACGTCTCTCACAGACGCTGAGAAGCTGCAACGTCGGGAGCTTCTGGATTTACGTGGATTCTACGCCCAGTGCTCGGTGTTGGCTGCTCTTGTTCTGATTCGAGTATATAAGAAGTCCTTTGGCGAAGCCCCTGGCACCGAAAAGCCAACCGAGAGGCGCTCGCGGCGAAAGAACCTGGAGAAATCATGGTTGGATACGCCCCCAGTTGCTGGCTGGATGGAGACTCGAAGACAATACATCGTCTGTCTCATCTGGCTTGGCTGGCTTCTGAGTCTTTGCATCTGGAATTCTGGTGAAGGTGGGTCAATATTTTCTATGATATTTCCCGATACTACTAGTACCCGAGATGGTCGAGTTTGGGGCATAGGATTACATTTGTCTGGGCTCCGATTTGCCAGAATATACACTTTGTGTTCATCTAAGCTCCCGCGAACTACAACAATCCTGTGTCTCATATACTAAATCACCCACATCGTGGAGACGAAAGCTAAGCCATTGTTGATATAAACAGATTATCTCCACTTTACCAAAGCTCTAGCCCATGTCAGCCTCTCCCAGCTCCCCTTGCAGGTGCTCATGTCACCGGCCCTGTACATGAGTCCATCACCAGGATCACCGTCCGTCGTGTCGGTTATCACATCCGTTCCGCAGCCGACCATCAACGCCTACCATCGTCTATTTGGTCGGATTGTTCTTGCGCCGCTGCTCATCGCCCACGCTGTCATGTACGATTCTTTCTTCCTGCAGTCGAGCCACCCTGATTTCGGCTCGCTCTTTGCGAAGCGTATCTGGGATTCTGATGTCCAGTGGGGTATCGCTGCTGCCACCATGGTGGGCGCGGTCGCTCTCTTTGCTCGTCCGGCAGCCATGCCTCGCTGGGTACGCTGGTTGAAGCCGACTTCTGCCAAGTCCAGGCAGCAGGTGTTCTACCTTGTGCATGTTTCCATCGTGGGAGCCCTGGAACTTGCGGCTTTCTGCCATGTTTCGGTGGCGCGCACCTATATTCTTGAGTCATTTGCAAGCTCTGCGATCAATTTCGCCTGTTGCTACATGATGCAATAGACTCGATCTTGAGTGAGACCTGGCACTTTCGTTGCTGATAAGCTATGCTAGAACAGCAAGTCATCAGGGTTGTGGCTTTGGGGTACGGCAAGTGTTAGCGATACTGGTGTCCGACACAATCATGTTAGATATTCGAGGACCGATGGTGTAGATATACGAATAAACATAATGGAATTTCTGGAATATAATATATAGCATTATCTCTCCGCAACGCAAGTACGCATCAATTTAGTAATACAGTTAAATACTTAGTAGATAGTACGTACAAGGGCCAATCCTACCGACGAAACGTACACCCTGCGCCATCGCATTAAGCATCCCATTTACTTCTGCTACCAATGGGTAGCATTTCTTGATGAGCTTCTGGAGATCGTCAACTTATCATTTTATCATACAGAAACACCATAGGACCGGTAACTACCTACTGGAGCCTTGTTTGACACAAGTTATGCTTCCTCGCTGTAAGTTTGAGACGGTGGGATGCTTTCTTACTTTGTTGTGGTATCGCTCTTGCTGACCTGCTTCAAGCGTCTATATCTCTATCATTCAACAGGATATGTTGGCCATCACCATCACCACCCTGGACTTCTGGCTGCCAGAGCTATCTCTTCTTGATGAATCCTCCTGCAAACTATACCACACCAACTGATTGGGCGGTTCGACCCCATCACTGCAATTTACGATCCACCCAGCTATGTATGTATTTCAACCAGTGATCCACTGCACTCGATTAGGCAATGTAGCTGGTACATGCAAAACAGACTTCATGAGACTCGCACTGAGTTACTTTCGGCGCGCCAGTGCCTAGACTGACTAGGTTACTGGCTCCTCCTCTTTTTCCTTCCGGCTTATCCCAAGGGCAGGAGCAATACCTCCCAAGTCGCGTGCGCACTTTCCTAGTTCGTGCATGAAGACATTCCTATCAGCACTTCCGATACAGTCAATTCTTCGTTGTAGCACGTTGTTCAAACAAGAGACAGAGTCCTGCGCTTCTATCCCTTTCTTTCAAGCCTTTCACCCAGAGCCACTAGCTGCTTGGTCGTTTTCCCTATTTTGCATCCACCGGTGTGTTGTATCCACTAGGAACAGCCATGGTCAAGTATGACATTCCCACTTTGCTGGCACTCAGCCACAACGGACGGATAGATTTCAGCAAATTTACTGAGCAGGCCGTTGGAAGTAAGTCTTTCTTTTTCTTATCTAAATTTAGTAGTGAATGCTGGAAACGAAGAAGGATATTTTGCTGACACAGAAGTCTCTTCATCACTAGATAACGTCCTTCGACAACGCAAAACCAGTACGAGTGTCTTGTCGGAGCAGCCAGTCAACCGGTCAAGGAATGCCTCAAACTTGTCACGTCAGAGCGAACGAACTCTTTCAGTTCCAGAGCACGCTGTAATTTATCCCTCTCGGCAGCCAAGTGACCCTCCACAGAGCATCCGCGCGCACGCCGATGCCGGATTTGTTCAGTTTCTAAAGGAGCATACATCCCCGAAGCACCAGCGTGTCACTGCTGGAGGCCGAATCGTTCCAATGGAACCACAGTCCCCTACCCCCAAGGCGAAGCAGCCAGTGCGCAACATAAGTGCAACAGCCAGTGATCAAAAGATATCTAAGCCTTCGTTGCGAGATGACACTAAAATCAAACGCGAAAATAAACATGTGCTGTTGCAAGATAACAACGCAAGTGTTAATATTTCTATAGCTGCACCGCAGCCTGCTGAAAGTCACGACAATATACGTACCATACTGCCTCAAAGCGGTAGTGCAATTGACCAGCACTTCTCAAACTATGGACAAGCACCGACTCTTCTGTCTACGGCAGCTACCACAGGGCTGTTCTCCCAACCCAGTCTTCCATGGGCCATGAGTGACCTACCAATGCCTCAAATCGCCTTACCAGCCCCAGAAGTTATACCAGCGGCCTCGGACTACCCTATGTATGCCTTTGGAGATGGTCCATTATCGTGGGCTTCAAACATCTATCCTACCCTGGGTACTCAAGGCCCCGTAATTCCTTCCATGCCAGCAGTCCAGCCATATCCCACTGTTACCTCGACTTCTGACTTTTCCGCGGAAAGCAATACAAGTAGCGGCAGGGCGACCTCATTTCTTGGTCAGCTTCCACCTACCTATGACTCTCTTTGCCCTTCTCTGGGACCTCAATGGCATCAATATGCAGGTGGACAAGTCCCAGCTCTTAATCAGCCAATGATGGTTAGCACTCCTCAAACACCGACGTACCAGAAGTCTCTGGAAGATGCTGCAAAGGAGCATGAGTCTCTTACCAGTAAGCTATCCGGTATTGATAGGTACATGGCTGTGCACAGTTGGGATCTCGACCCAAGTGCCAAAAAGATTCTAGTTGATCAGCGAATGAGTTTGGTGAGAGAACTGGATGCGGTTAGGATATACAGGGAACATCTCGAATGGGTTTCTGGAAGATTGAACACAACGATCCCAATCAGGCAACATCCCTCGAACGTCGCTTCAATGTTTGTCGCCAGCGGCCTCACAGGTAGTCCATCTCTAATGGGACCTTCGCTGTGCACACCCAGCTCCGCTTCTGCGCTTCCAGCTTTTTCGATGCTGCCACTAGCAAACGCCCTTTCGCAGTCGCTCTCCCTCAATGAGACGGTTAACGCATCAATGCCACTACATGCTGTATCTGATACCTACCCATACAATGCGACAATCGGCTCAGCAGAGGTACGTCCAAACCATAACTCAACCAAGGATGCTAGCTTTTCGCATGCCGCACGAGGAGTTGAGACACGGATCGAACCCAAGAGGTCAGACAAACAAGTCCAGACACATGGCGAGGCCAAATCGAGAACTACTGACGGAACTGCTGGATGGAAAACACCTACGAAGATAACCGCTTTGGACGTTGAAAAGGTGCATCATCAAATTGAGGAGGCCACTCGCCGAGGCGAACCTCTCGATGGGCTTCTTCGGGAACTATCAGCCGCTACTTCCCAATTGATTAAACAAAGGCGAGATGAACTTCATGAGCCGCGCGGGTTGCTGTCAGCCGTGCCTGCTAAGCACAACCGCAAGAATCGCGCGGAAAGTGAGGCGGGTGCCGTCAAGGGACTATCAGACAAGCATGAAGCTCATGCACCTCTGCTGCGACACTCAACCAAGGCCTGGAAGCCCGGGAAGGAGCTGCGAAGGCCTGGACTGCACAGCGCAATGGGCCCATACATGAGTGCGAAAGAGATGGAAGAGGGTGATGACCGTCAATCTATATCGTCGTATGTGTCAACGACGGACTCATGGGCTACCGTTCATCAAGGAGAGTAAGTACTGTCCGCCTTGGAAGGGCATAATTCTGGAGTATACTAAGTTTGCAGGCGTCGACGTGACAAGAAGCTACGGAAGATCAAAGAAAAACGGGCGAATCGAGAGATGGTCGAAAGGTAGTAAGAATCTCCGAGCATAGGCAAGCAAGCTGATGATGTTGCGCAGCAGACCCCGTGGTCCACTTGAGCATCCCCATGTATCGAATGAAGCCTTTTTACCAGGTCCTCAACGTTCTCGAGGGCAGAATTTGGGCCAGCCAGGAGGACCACCGATATACAAGCCACGCAGCCCCCCAACGTTGGTAAACCCGACTGACCCGGCGAGGCAGACCAGCGTGGAGGAAATGAGACAGCAGTATCCCCAGCTTCTGACGCAGTATTTTAACAAGGACCGTGGTCTAGCCTTTCAGAAAACGGCTGCCTTGGCTGTCTCGCAGAATGTTAATGCACATGGGTTTCTGCCCCCTTTTGAAGGCGTAGGGAATGCGCCCCATAAGAACAGGAGTGCACCAACGGACATGACCGAAGGTGGAATGTATCTATTCAGCGGAAAGATGTCAAGCTCCAAGCAGCATGAGGGACCCGGACAAAGAGGCAAAGAGGCCCCTGGACCAGCCAAGCAAGCTGGAAAGCCGTGATTGAGTCGGGTAGAGCGAGGTCCCCGCGGCGTCCACATATACGATTCTTTCTGGAACAGATGAACGGGGTGAGATTACCACCAGCAATCAGCGGTGAGTCCTAGGAGCAGGGTTCGAAGGGCATTGGGGAAAGCAGTTGGAGATATGGCCGTATGGCATCATTGTATTACATGTATTCAAGGGTACCTCTCGTCCTACAGAGTCGGACCCTTACGGTTGGAGTATATCTTAGAATGAGGGATAGTGTTAGTATGGTATCACTGGAAAAAGTTATTTTCACAAGTCTTTGAGGATGAAGATCAGTCAACTTGTGCTGATGCAGCGAAACACCCAGGGGATATTCAGATAGCAGATGCAGTCGGACCTGGGTTACTGGTAAAATCGTTTGGAGTGGTATTTATCGATCAGTAGCGATCAGGAGAACTTGGCTTCAGCCCACCTTCTCCAGGCCAAGATAGTAGTCAATAATTTCATTGCTGGAGAATCAGGTGTGCAGCGGGAAAGACAGAGTCGATCGTTACTCTGTAGTTGAGGAGGCCAGAGCTCCCCTTGCGTGGATGATGGATTCCCCCACATCCAGCATCCGTCGCCTGACTGGTTGGTCCTCCGCCACACACCCCGCAAAGAAGATGTGAGGTCGCATCTCGTATTCTTGGTTTTGACTAGAGAGAGAGAGCAGGTGGATGAAGGTAGACTAGTAGTAGTAGACCAGTGACCAGCAGGGTATGTGAGTGTATAAGTGTATGAGTGTGTGTGGGTGGATGGTGAGAATACTGTAAATGTATGTATGTAATTTATAAATAATAATAAGAATATAAACGGAGTAACAAAAAGAAAAAAGCACAGCAATAATAGCAGCGGCGATAATGGCTGTGTTTTTTTCGTTCCATGTTTTGTAAATGACCCACGGTGAGGAGGCAAGTGGGCAAGTTTCGGGGAGGAGGGCCGGAGTGCCTGATGGTCCTATCAGATGTGTTGGCAGGCCCATGAGGGATGGCGAGTCATCCATGGGAAGTTCAAAGCTGAATCGAACAAGTCCAGAATGTGGCAACTGGCTAAGGCACCGGCCAATCTGCTAACTCTAAGAGCGCTGGCTGGCATTTGTGGTGAGCCCGATCGGATCTAAGATAACTTACTTGGTTGAGTAAGTAGTACTACGGAGTAACTACTTACTATACTGGTTACTTAGTTACAAAGAGGAAGATGGCATTTAAGGGACGAGCTGAATGAATGGCAGACAATACTAAGTACTTACAGTATACAACAAGTAATAGATACTGTGTGACATCGGATATGCATACCGATTACATACCGAGTCAGGAAGGATAGAAGGTATCTGGGCTGGGCTGGGTTGAAAGAAAGAGGTGATTGCTGTGCTGATAGCAAGATGGATACGACAACCCGATACTACGGTGATAAGTGAAGTGACATTTATCTATCGCCCGGGCTTTATCGGCTCCCCTTTTACACTTCCACTTAGTATTCCTTACTATTTACTCAGACAGTTTAGTGCAAATGGTTAGTGACGGTGAGAAAAACTAACTAGTGACCGTACTATACCCGGTATGGAGGCGTATGATGTATCATGCCCGGGCTGCGTGACTAAGCCCAGGCTGTGCCATTCCAACTTTCCCTCCACGTCTCCACTCCGTCTCCGGCCCTTTCGCTTTCTCTCTCTCTCTTTCTTGTCTTCTTTCTCTTCCCCTGCTGTTTCTTTTCTTTGAAAGCCCGTCTTTGGCCCGGGGATTCAATTCTTCAGCTTCTGTTTCTTCTTCGGTCATACCTTTGCGACCTCTGCGAACGCTGCGTTCTTCCCCGCCCGCGATCTAGCCGAGGTGTTGTCCCCCATTCACAGCCAACCCCCATCGTTCCCGGGCTGGAAGTGCCTCTAAATCCAAGTTTCTGGTGCAAACTAGCACCACCGCCTACCAATTTCCCCCGCGGCTTCTGGCCCGTTACTGGGGCCCCTTCCCTCCCGTCGCAATTATTATCTCTCATCGCCTACTTGACCCGTTCGTTATCACCAAACTCAACTTGAGTACCTGGCCACGTTCCTGGATTCAATCCAGGCAGTCACCGGCATGACACAACTTTTCGCCTCCAGTCCGTCCTCCGTGACGAACGAGAAACGCGGGAACTTTCCCAGTCTCTCTCTGGCCTCCAAGAAGCATTCCAACGATTCGAGCCACTTCCCCACGAGGATCAAGAATTTCTTTCGCATCAACAGTTCCAGCAGCAATTCTTCCCATGCCAGCCACCACAACAATGACCCGCGTGATCGCGATGGCAATACCTCCCCGCCCGCAAAGTCTGATGCCAAATCCGGCTTTAGACAATCCCGGTTCCTTCCCACTATCGGCCGAAATCGCTCAACCACCGTTGCCAGTGAAGGCAATCCGCTAGACGAAGGCGTCTCTCCGACCGCAACGGCCAACCCATACTTTGTCCATCAGGGTCAGCCTTCGTTGCAGCATCGGAACGATGGCTCGGTGCCGTCGTCCCCTCCAGATACCCCCGAATTGCAGGTGGACGGCGTCTCTGCTGCCGAGCAGGCGACTACAGCCAACAAGGTTGAGTTGGCTCGTAAGCTGCGCCGTGTTGCTTCGGCTCCGAATGCGCAGGGTCTGTTTGCCCGTGGCGAGTCTGACGAACGTCCTCAGACGGCTGAGACTGGAAAGGAACTTTTGGAGCCGTCTGGGGTGGATGATCCACAGGTCACCACGGTGGAGGTGGCGTCCGACAAAGATGTGAATCTTGCCGTGCCGAAACTTGGCCCCCACAGTAAGATTCCTACTCCCGGCCAGATTCGGGATTCGGTTGCCTTCCGCAGGACGTATAGCTCCAACTCGATCAAGGTGCGCAATGTGGAGGTAGGACCGGGGAGCTTTGATAAGATCAAGTTGATCGGAAAGGGTGATGTGGGCAAGGTGTATCTTGTCCGGGAGAAGAAGTCGAGCCGGCTTTATGCTATGAAGGGTGAGTTTATGCCTGCAGCCTTGCCTATTGGCGAAGTGTGCTGACTTGACTAGTACTGAGCAAGAAGGAGATGATCAAGCGGAACAAGATCAAGCGGGCATTGGCCGAGCAGGAAATTCTTGCCACCAGCAATCATCCATTCATTGTTACACTCTACCACTCCTTCCAGTCTGAAGACTATCTCTATCTGTGCATGGAGTACTGCAGTGGTGGCGAGTTCTTCAGAGGTATGTTCTACGTCCGATAGATACCGGCTGTCGCTGACTCTTTTAGCTCTTCAAACCCGTCCAGGAAAGTGCATCTCCGAAGATGCTGCGCGATTCTATGCCGCAGAAGTTACTGCTGCTCTGGAGTACCTCCATCTCATGGGTTTCATCTACCGTGATCTGAAGCCCGAAAGTATGTACTGTAATAGTCAAAGGTGTTGACTTTCGCTGACTATGTTTTTCTAGACATTCTCCTCCACCAATCCGGCCACATTATGCTGTCTGACTTTGATTTGTCGAAGCAATCCGGACCGGGCGGTGCGCCTACAATGATCCCGGCGCGGAGTGGCAACTCCACGACGTCTCTACCGACGATTGATACCAAGTCATGCATTGCCGACTTCAGGACCAACTCGTTCGTCGGTACGGAAGAATACATTGCACCCGAAGTCATCAAGGGTTGCGGACACACTAGCGCGGTCGACTGGTGGACGCTTGGTATTTTGATCTACGAGATGCTGTACGGCACGACGCCATTCAAGGGCAAGAACAGGAATGCTACTTTCGGCAACATCCTGCGGGATGAGGTGCAATTCCCCGAGCATGCAGCGGCCCAGCCAACCTCCAAGTAAGCTCTCTCGGTCTGCTTTGTCACACAGTTGCTAACATTCACAGCCTCTGCAAATCATTAATTCGTAAACTGCTCATCAAGGACGAGACCAAGCGCCTTGGAGCTCGAGCCGGCGCTTCGGACGTCAAGACCCATCCCTTCTTCCGGCAAACGCAGTGGGCGCTGATCCGGCATATGAAGCCGCCAATGATCCCTCACCAGAGCCGTGGTACGGATACTCTCAACTTCCGCAATGTCAAGGAGAGCGCGAGTGTCGATATCGGCGGACCAAGCACAACGAAGATGAAGGGTGTACCGATGGATTCGGGACTTGCGACGCCAAATGGCGAGATAGCCGATCCGTTTGAGGAATTCAACAGCGTCACCCTTCACCATGACGGGGACATGTGAATGGCCTGATTGTCACCACCATGCTTTCTACCTGCCCAAGCATATGCTTTGCTAGAGGCTTATTTTACGACTATGATGCATGAAAGATCTCTACACGGAGTTCACCATCTTACAGCTATTACCTGGAGTATCGGAAGTTTGACGTTGGGAGTTCCTTTTTCTTTTTCTTATACACAGGGTGGTTATCGATATATGCTGATATCCAATGACTGCGTCCCCTCATGCATGGGCTAATATTCGGCTGTCACTTTATGGTTTGATGCGGCAGCGATGTAACAGTTTGACTGTTTCTTTGTTTCTATCACAGTTATTGCAGCAGACGGCGTTAGCGATTTCGGTTGTACCTTAGCAAACAGATCTTTGAGCAAAACAGTGGTGTGGGCTGACTTGTTCACACCAGGACGGTTTTGGTCGGGGAAGCTTTCTGTTCTTTATTCTGTATTTGTGGGCGACTTATTGATGCTTGGATGTCCGATGGGACAGGCCCGGTGCCTTATGGACATGATTACGTTTATGAATTTATATGTATTTTCTAGACTCTACAGACCGCTCTGTAAATGTTTCCTGATATAGATTCTGAACTAGATTCTGGTAGTTGATTGAATGAGACACGACGGAAATCCATCCGCCGCGACCCAAACAAACCAAACCAGATCCAAACATCACCACCTACATTCAACATACACCAAACAACGCACCTCCACCAATTCCCAATACACACAGAGACACACAAAATCAAAAGAACCAGAATACCAAGAAAGAAACACCATCAAAATGTCCTCCCCACCCGACTCCCACTCCCACACCCCCCTCCACGACCAAGACCACGACCAAGACCCCTCCCCCTCCTCCGCGCCAGACTCAACCCCCAACAACCCTCTCCTCCGCACCACCAACCCTCTCGTCAGCTCCCTGGAACAAGAAGTCCTAGATGAGTATACGCGGTTATTAGGGAATGTGAATAAGGTGTGTACTTTCCCCAGTACCCATCATTCTACACTCAATCAATCCTTTCATCCTTCCATCCATCCAATCCTACTACAAACACATACATACACACGCTTTACACATCCACTACACGCATGCTAACCATACCCCCGAATGGGATAAAGCTATCAACCAAACTCTCCACACTCGCCGAATCCCCCACGACCCTCACACTGGACGGCCTCCGCGGCCTGGAACGTCAAACCGCCACCGTCTGTACCCTGCTCAAGGCGAGTGTGTATAGCATTGTTCTCCAACAGCAGATTTTTAATGAGAGTGAGGAGCAACAACAACAGCAGCAGATGCAGATGCAGCAGGAGATGGAGGGGATGGAGGGAGATGGGTATTCGGGGATGATGGGGCAGGGGGGTGAAGGAGGGGAGTATGGGTATGGGGATGGGGGGTATGGAGGGTATGGGGTTGAGGGGGAGAGTTTTGGGAGGTATTAAATGATTCTCCTTGCAGGGGGGAATAGGATATGGGATATGGTGATGGTGATGGTGGATTGCATGGTATGGGTTGACTGGGTTGGGCTATGGGTGTGGGTGGTGTTTGATAGATGTGATTGATATATGATATACCCCGTTTTGTATGTTCTAGATTTATTCTATTGTTGACGTGTTGATTGAGTATTGCTTGATGCTGGATACAAATACATGTTTAGACTGTAATACAAGATTGAACAGAATAGGAAAAAAAAAAAAAAAGGAAAGGAAAACATTATATACACCGCCCATGACGCAAATGAACATGTCTGCTGTCTGTATGCAGTGTTGTGTTCAGAGAGATATATCTTTCAAACCCAACCCTCAAGCTGTTCGCCGCTCACGACGGCTTAGAACACCCTTGCCAGAGTAGTACACTCCCCGTACATCGACCATCTTCTTACCCCGGGCACGGGCAATATCCTCGGGGTTGCGCTGGCTCATGAGCGCCTCGTAGGCGGCCTTGACTGTGTTCATGGGGTTTCTGGACCGGTTGACCCGGGCGGCGATATCGTGGATACCGGCCGCGCGGCACATTTCGAAGATCAGGTGCTGGCAGCGGAGACCGAAACCTGTGGAGATATCAAACGTTAGCACTGAACTAATAGTTCATGTATCGGACATCGTACCTGGGGGACGGTGCATCAACTTCAACTCCACAGCTCCGACCTTGCCCTCGACGTCACCGAAGATGGTCCGCTTCTCGTAGCGCGGAACAGGTTGCATGTTCTTTACAGCACGAGCACGAGCTTGTTGGCAGGCATCGACAATTTCATCGGACTTGGCAATTCCAATTCCCATGAGACCGTTCTGGTTACCGGCGACCGTGACAACGGACATACTCGGGACCTTACCCAGTCGAGTCTGGTTGCTGACACGGCGAATGACGAGGTCCTTGATGTACAGGGACTTGATGTACTCTCTACCGTAGCCCGTGACCTGGAAAAGTCTCTTCTCCGCCTCGTTGGGTTCTTCGGGGTTCAGATATGTGAGCTCTCCAAATCTGGTCCGGTATTGCGGCCTCGGAACAACCTCGTCACCCATATGTTCCAAGGTTTCTCCGTCCTTCAAAAGATTGGGCGAGAGCGCGCTGTGTCCGTTGCGCTCGTTCTCCTCCTTGCCGTGGGTTACCCGGTTGGTCTCGAGGAATCGTACGAAATCAGCCGGCTGGGGGTCCTCCGATGATTCGGCAAAGAAGCGGGCGAAGTCTTCCATGAAATCATCCTCCGTCTTGAATGTCGCGTTGTAGTCGGAGTTGGTCTTGGGGGCGCGAATGTGCTTGTCGACGCCGGGCTCAATGACCGAGAAATCATCGAGATACTTCAACCTCATGGGATCCCGACGGAGACGGAACTGTTCAGCCAGGTCTTTCGGGTCAATGGTCTTCTCACCGGCCTCAATGGCGGCGATCTGTTCGGGCGTGTAATGTTCCCGGAGGGCGGCCTTTTCCTCCTCGGTGTAGTGCTTGAAGTCGTCAAGCTTCACCTCCCGGTAAATTTCATCCAGGGTCTTTCCCTCGGGGGCCTTGTTGACTTCAGGGACCTTCGGTTTCCGATCGGAGAGCTGTATCGACGACAGGTGGAACTGGCGACTAGGCACGCGAGGGCCGGCGGAGGCCGCACGCGAGAAGCTGCAGAAGAGGCATCGGGCCGGACGTGCGAGACTCATGATGAAGCGGATAGGGAGCTCTCTGGCCAGCAGAGGCCACTTGAGAGCAGATAATCCGGGGTGGTGGAGAAGAGGGGGGGAGTAAATGAGGTGATGGACGGGGAAGTTCAAGACGGCGAAGGGAAGGACATTGAAGTTCGAGTGAAATTCTCAGCGGGTCAACTCCAGCCAATCCCCGCCCGCCTTTTCCTGCTCACTCACTTTTTCCTTTTCCTCCATCACCCCAACTTTCTTTTCTTCCTCCTACTTCAACTTTCCCAATCCCTCCATTTTCTGATTAACTGATTCGGGATTTATATATGTTTGCCTTGCGATCCCTGCGATCATATACTCTTCGAAAACTCCCAACCAGTGTCCCTCGACAGGTCCAACGGTTGGCCCTCTTCCATCAATCTGCTTGCCCGCGCAATGCGCAATTAGCCTCCAATCCTCCCACCATGCAGAATTCCCCCAAGAAGCCCGACACCGTCGCAAAGCGGCGCAAGAGAGTCAAGGCTCCCCGCGATAACAAGAGCAGCGGCTTCGACGAGGTCCTCCAGGCCGATATTGACCAGCTTCTCCGCAGACACAAGCCCGAAACCGAGCTCGAGACAGAAGAAGCTTCTACACCCCCGCAACCCACCCTTCCCGAGCCTTTCACCGAGATTGAAGTCCAGATCGCCGAGATTTCGTCAACCGGTGATGGTCTCGCCTTGTCCGAGAACCAAGATCATGTCTACGTTGTTCCTTTCACAGTCCCCGGCGACAAAGTGCTGGTCAAGGTGGTGCGGCACTTCCCCTCCCTGTCCTACAGCATGACAGACTTTATCAAGGTCATTGAGCCTGGCCCCAAGCGCAACGATGCCGGCATTGGTTGCCAGTATTTCGGCCGGTGCTCCGGATGCCAGCTGCAAATGATGTCGTATGAAGACCAGCTCGCGCACAAGAAGCGCATTGTGGAGAAGGCCTATGCCAACTTCTCTGGCTTGATTCCAGAACTGATCCCTGCCATCGACGAAACTTTCCCATCTCCGCTGCAATACGGTTACCGGACGAAGCTTACGCCGCACTTTGCAGCTCCTGGCGGAAACAAGAGGAGGGGCAAGGGACCCCGCGAGCCGCACAAGGAGGTGCCCCCGATTGGTTTCACTTTCAAGAACCGACGCATGGATTTGGATATTGAAGACTGCCCGTTGGGTACCGATATTGTCCGACAGGGATTGAAGAGCGAGCGCAAGCGTGTGGCTGAGACCATCGGCAATTACACCAAGGGTGCCACTCTTCTTATGCGTGAGTCGACCACTCGCGTGCCGAAAGAGCAGGACAGCGAGAACCCTCCTGCGCCCATCAACAAGCCCGGACAGGATTCCGGCGACGTCATCCGCGTCGAAAAGGATACCTACATTGAAGAGAAGCGCTGCGTGACCGACTCGAACGCCACCAGCATTGAGTATGTCGACGACTACGTCTTCACCAACAAAGCTGGCGCATTCTTCCAGAACAACAACTCCATTCTCTCAGGGTTCACCGAGTTCATCCGCCAACACGCTATGCCCCCGAACAACGACCAAGACGCCAAACCCATCAAATACCTCCTGGATGCCTACTCCGGCTCCGGTCTTTTCACCATCACCCTCTCCCCGCTATTCAAGTCCAGTCTGGGCGTCGACGTCGCCGGCGACTCCATCGCCTCGGCACGGGACAACGCCCGCGACAACAAGCTCCCGAACACCGGTTTCGCCGCCGCAGACGCAGCCGTTCTCTTCAAGGACGTCCCCTACCCTCCTGACCAGACTCTGCTGGTCATTGATCCCCCGCGCAAGGGATGCAGTGACGACTTCCTCCGGCAGCTGCTGGCCTTCGGACCGCGCCGAGTGGTCTACGTTAGCTGCAACGTGCACACGCAGGCGCGCGATGTGGCTGTCATGGTGCAGGGTGATGCGGAGAAGAAGATCCGGTACGAGATCGAGAGCATTCGTGGATTCGACTTCTTCCCGCAGACGGGACATGTTGAGGGAGTGGCTATTCTGAACAAGACGAGTATACCCGAGTCTGCTTGAATTCATATATATGATGGCGTTGGTGGTTAAAAGGAGACATGACTGATAGATTCGCGTACATACAATGAGCAAATACCATTTGCAGTTTGCAATTTCTCTTCATCTATACTCTACTTATCGTGCTGGTTCTTCTGATAACCCGCTACAGAACTAATCAACTGAGCTCAGTCTACAAATCAGGATCAGCAATCTTCAAAACCGCCTTGCCCAAGTTCTCCCCGCGCAGCATGGCAACAAACGCCTCGGGACCATTCTCAATGCCCACCGTGATATCCTCTTTGGCATTGATACTGCCCTCCTGCAGCCACTACACATCATCAGCAGCCATCCTCATACCGTACCCAGGAAGAATGATACACTCACAGCAGTAACCTTCTCATCTCTCTCCTTGATCCACTTAGGCCCCATATCCTTATCCCCAACAATAAACCCACGCATGCGCAATCTCTTCGTGACCACATTATACAGATTCTTAACCCCATACCGCTCCTCCGGCTTGAGATTATACTGCGAGACCATTCCACAAGCCACTGCCATCCCATCCCATCATCAGTCAGCATATTTCCCAAACCCAACATCCAACATCCAAGAAAGAGAAGAAAAACTCACCAACCCTCCCCCCATTATTCATAACCTCCAAAACAGCATCCAACTGCTCCCCACCCACATTCTCAAAATACACATCGACACCACTGCCCCCCTCACCACCAACCAACCTCCCCAACGCCTCCTTCGCCCCCTCAACCCTATAATCAAAACACTCATCGAACCCCAATTCCTCCACCACATACCTCCTCTTCCTCTCCCCCCCAGCACTCCCAATCACCCTACACCCAATCCTCTTCGCCAACTGTCCCACCACACTCCCCACCGCCCCAGCAGCACTACTCACAAACACCGTCTCGCCCTTCTTCGGCTCCCCGATCTCAAACAGTCCCGCGTACGCAGTCAACCCCGTCATGCCCAAGATCCCTACATACTGGGACAGCTCAATCCCAGATGGTAGAGGGGTCGGGATCTTCCGGATCGGGCTGTTCGCTCCGTCGATGTTCTCGAGCGTCCATAGCTGCTCCTCTTCTTCGGCTTCGCCGGTGGTAGGGGCAGGAGATGCAGATACAGCCAGCACGCTGTATTCCTGGACAGGCAGACGCGCGTAGATGATCTCGCCCGGGGCGAAGGATGCGTGCGTGGAGTGCACTACTTGGGCCACGGCGTAGGCCGTGATGGGCGTGTTGAGCGGGTATGGTGGACTGTAGG